AGTGGAACTCTTTCTGGGAATCTAAGCCAAACTCTCAAGGCTATAATTCCAACTAACATGGAGAAATTAGAGAGAGACATTTTCATTAACGTGAAGCTTTAGACTTGTGGCCAAAGATTTGAAACGAGATGCAAAATCCAATCAGATGGAATAAAATGACTACATAATATTGCCAAGGGCTGAAGAAATGCAGAATGTAATCGAGCAAGGGAGGAAACTAGCTGCAGCCTGGATGAGGGCACAGATGTACGTCTACCTAAATCAGGCCAAAGGACATGAGGGTATCGACCCAGGAGATCAAGGCTGAAAATCCCATCACATCTGAAGGGTGTGGACTGCTCTCTGTTGTCATAGCAACTATAAAGGGCTTAGTCTCCTGTTGTCATAGTGATCATAAAATGGACTTACTGGCAATTCAAAAAGAACCTGGAGATATGCCTCCTCGACCCCAAGTCCCTGCCAGATAAACAACTGGAGGGTGGCCCGGGCACCTCAACAGTTTGCGTGGCGACCTCAGCCTATCTCACATACCTCTTTTTACCCCCAGTGAGCATGTGTCTTGATAAGATTTGGGATTAAATAGAGACACACTAAAGTTAGTGAAAGCCACAGTATTAATAGTCTTGTGTTGAGTTCAGAATAATCTTTGTACGTTAGGTATTAAACTGCATGGAATGCTTAAGAATCCAACATCTTTGAGAATGTACCAGATCGTACTTGATTTTAGGCTTGTCATTGACGACAAGGTGAAAATATGGGTGTTCTCAAACAGTCTTAGAATGCTTCGGAAGATGAGAAATTCTCTGTATTTATGAGTTTAATTTTTAAATTTATAAGAATTACTTAAGTAAAGTGGTTTTTTTGCTAATACCTTTAGGTTTGGGTCAGTAGGCATTTGAAGTGATTAAAAAGATCAGATATATTAATTCACAAGTGCAAATTTAAATGTTGAAGGAAATGTGATTCTCTCATAAACTAAATGAAAAAATGGGAATTCAGTCCTTGCAACATGAATTTATTGGCCATTATTTAAAGCATACACCCAAAATCTGTTTGTTCTTACTTTATATACGACTTACGAGATCCATATACAGAATGACAAGTATTTTAAGTAAAATAAAAGCATAAAATAAAAATAAATCTAGTTTGAGGCACCTGGGTGGCTCACTCCTCTGTCAGCTAAGCATCCAATTCTCGATTTCGGCTCAGGTCATGATCTCGCAGTTTGTGAGTGCGAACCCCACACTGGGCTCTGCGCCGACAATGCAGAGCCTGCTTGGGATTCTCTCTCTCTCTCCCTTCTCTCTCTGCCCCTCCCATGCTCACTCGCTCTCTCAAAATTAAGTAAAATAAATTTTAAAATAACTAAATAAATCTAGTTTTTTTACTTTAATAAATTAATATTAAGACTAATATTCATTTAAAATTAATATTAATTTTAGTTCTGCCAAAAATGCATAACCTGAATCTAATCATGAGAAGACATCAAATATAAAATAACAGGCATTGTACAAAAAAAAAAAGGAAAGAAGAAAAGTCCTCAAATATGTCACCATCACAAAAAAAGGAAAAAAGGGAAGATGGACTCTTCCAAATTAAAGACCAAAGGGCCTGACAGTTCTATAAAGTGCATGATCTGAGATTTTCTTTCACTAAAAATGACATTATTATTTAAACTGGGAAAATCTGAATGAGATCAGTGGATTAGATAGTACTATGGTATTAACGTTAGTTTCCCAATTTTGAAAACGGGATGGTATTTATGTAAGAGAATTCCTTTGTTTTTAGGAAACACAGAGTTAAGTATTTAGGGACAAAGAGACACTGTGTCTACACTCATCTCAGTAATTCAGGGAGGAAAAAAGACAAAAGAGGAAAAGGATAATACAAACGTATTACAATGTCATTGGAGAACCCTGGTGAAAGGTATACAGGAATCTTGGCAAAACTCGTGCAACTTTGCTAGATGCCTAGTATTATGTCAAAATCAACATTAAAGAAGAACTGATATTAAAGTAGCAGTTTAAAAAAATGCCACCCTCGAACACCAAAAATCACCCACTGACAAAGCAGCACAAAAAGACGATAAAAAGCTGGAAAAATGAATCTGAGAGACAAGAGTAGAACTGAGTAAAAACAGACAAGAGGAAAACGTCACGTTCTTAAGAAAAGTCTGAAAATTAGAGGAAAAAAAAAGGACTTAAACTATGTTAAGCTTTCCTCCACTTTGAACCCAAAGTCAATTGCGTCCGGTCAGACGACAGCACTGACACCAAGAAGGTAGAATGCCCACTGCAAACGCCTGCCCCAAGGTTCCCCCACCCCACCCCCTGCCAAAGGAGCCCACATTCTGGATACTCCGCCCCGGCCCGCCCCACCCACTTCAGCATAACTCATCTTCTGGAAAATCTCTCTCTTGATCTAAAACCAAATGCTCCTAGGTAGAAGGCAGTTCCCACCCCTGGTACCCACATCTCAACCCCAGCCAGCCCAGGACTAAGGAGTTGTGAATCACGCTTTGTGCCAGGACAAAAGACCTCATTCAGTAGGAACAGCAATTCTCTTAGCATTCTCCTTGGTAATATAATCCATCATTCCTAAGCATTCCCTGTGGGTGGCGGTCCCAATATGCAGATAACCTGACTTCAAATGTGCCTGGACCTTCTCTACAGAGATGACGACCAAACAGACCCACCAAGTCTGGCTTCACTCTGGGTTGCACCAGCCCCTTCTATTGGCTGAACCGCTCCACGTGCTATAACCCTGCAGATTCCAGCTTGCCTTACTGGGATCGTGAGGGCGCTCTGCACAACAGGCCACCTTACCTCTCACTCCAGGGGAAAACTACCGGCCAAGGGGCGTAACAGAGCGCTCACCATAGAGGAAGAGAGAACAGGAATCAATAGCAGCCTGTGAAACAGAAACTAAAACAGACAAAGATGTTTTCTAACAGGATCAATGATCAAAAGTCAAAATTGACCATGTAAGGAAGTCGTGGTAGCCTCTTCTCTAAATTCTTTGAAGCCATGGGGGAATTTTTTTACTCTGAATATTTCAAATATTCTCATGTCTGAAACCAGGAGACACCCTATATAACCTTGAAGTGGTTATACATTGGTGACTGTGAGACTAAGAATGTGTGTGTGTGTGTGTGTGTGTGTGTGTGTGTGTGCGTGTGTGTGTGGCTGAAGCACAGAAATACATAACAATTACCTTACCCTTTCATTAATTCAGTAAGAGTTGGCTAAGCACATGTTATATGCACAATGGAAGCTGAGGGGCTTTCAAAACCATGCAGACATGGAGGTTAAAACTCAAACATGAGAAGTGCCTCATTGAATACTTAGTACAACAATTCAATGAAATAAGTACAACCACCCTCATTTTCAAGGTAAGAAATCTGGAGGAAAAAACTAGACAAACATCAGAAGGATGTTAAATGGCACAACCAGAAATCCTAATAAAATTGAAGAGTCCCCAGTGTTAATCCTTAATCTGGAAGACTGGGTAATCTTTTAATCAAACCACCCCGCTTCCCAAAATCTTGGCTTCTCTACCTGCTCAACAGGTAAATTAAGCCAAATGGCCCCTAAAGTTTCTTCCAGCCTTAAAAAAAAAAAAAAAAAATCTAGAATTTCCATCTTAGGACCTAGCCCCATTGTACATACATAACAAGCAAGATCAAGAGAAGAAGGGAGGAAAAGTCTAAAATTAGGCCATTTCAGAAAAACTATATCATAGTTTACTCTTACACAGAGAAGGAAACGGTAATTATTCAATCAGAGCAAAAGTTACGATTATTCAAATGAGGTATTGTAGAAAACTCAAATAAAAGGATCTCTGTACTGTTTCTCTTGTGATTATTAAGAATAATAACATTCTCTAGTCTCCGCAACGCAAAGGCAGCAGAAGCAGTATTGGAGGGAAAGCGGCACCCCGCAGAGGCTCCTTGGCCTTTCCATCGATCGCCCCCTAAGGAGCAAAGACACGGTCAGCAGCTCTCAATCCCCCAGCCCCCTTCCAGTTTTCCCAGGATTAGGGAACACCTGCGGACTAAGATGAAAAGGCCACAGACATTTGGAGAAGTTCTCGTTCAGTCTTGCCTCCCTTCTGTAACCGAATGCCCTCTCTCTTGCTGCTTCCAGACTTCCACCTGCCCCACTAAGATAACCCACCTTCCTGGGCCTGCTGAGCCTCCCAAATAATGCTTTGTGCTCAAAGAAAAGCAGACTGGACCAAGAGGAGCCTAGTGCCTAATCGAGTCCCATCAATAATTGGCCGCGTGACCTGTATGTAACTAGCTATTTTCAGCTTCGGATGCCTCTTACCTACTCTGAAAGATAGCAGTTAACTGTGGACCTGTCATTTCAACGGAAAAGTAAGTAAAATCAAATATGTTTTAAATATATAAAACACCTTTCAAATTACAAAGAAGATCTATCTCCCAGTAGATAAAGAAGTCGCTGAAAAAGCTAATCACAGAAGAAGTAAAGATGGCCAACAAAGACGAAAAGCCGCTCCTTAATAAATCAAGGATGTGAAAATAACACAACCTTCAGATATTATTTCTCATCCAACAGATTGGCAAAATGTAAAAGATTGTATTAGCAAGGGTATAGGAAGATGGGTTTTACATATATTTCCGTGGGAAGGTTGTCATTATTTTGGGGGGGAATTTCGTGTTACCCAACAAAGAATTAAATATGCCTACTTTTAATCTAGCAAGATCTCTTACAATCCCCTCCCAAAGGCATGTTCTCACATACGCCAAAAATATATGTATAAAGATGTTCAGGCAACACTGTTCACTTAATTGGAGGGTGGTTAAATAAATTACTTGATATCCCTAAACTATGGAATATTAAAGGGACAATAAAAAGAATAAGTAGGGGCCCCTGGATGGCTCAGGTGGTTGAGTGTCCGACTCTTGATTTCAGCTCAGGTCATGTTCTCATGGTTCTTGAGTTCAAGCCCTGCATCGGGCTCTGTGTTGATGGTACAGAGCCTGCTTGGGATTCTCTCTCTCTCCTCCCATCTCTCTCTGCCATGCATGCTCTCTCTCTCTCTCTCTCTTTTAAAATATGGGGCGCCTGGGTGGCGCAGTCGGTTAAGCGTCCGACTTCAGCCAGGTCACGATCTCGCAGTCCGTGAGTTCGAGCCCCGCGTCAGGCTCTGGGCGGATGGCTCGGAGCCTGGAGCCTGTTTCCGATTCTGTGTCTCCCTCTCTCTCTGCCCCTCCCCCGTTCATGCTCTGTCTCTCTCTGTCCCAAAAATAAATAAAAAACGTTGAAAAAAAAATTTTTAAATAAATAAACCTTTTTAAAAAATTAAGTAGATCTATTTCTTTTTTCTGACATGGAATACATTATGAAACGGGAAGTGCCTGGCACATAGGAGTCAGTAAATATCTTTTGAATGAATGAATGAATACACATACAGCTTTACCTAGCACTTTTACATACCCTATCTCATCTAATTCTCATCACAACCCTACCATACGAGCCAGGCAGATGTTACCGTCCCCGATGTAAGGAGGAGACTTGGGTGGTGATGACTTACCCAAGATCATAAACGTGAGGTATTTACTGGCCAGCGCTCTTTGGTGGCCGACACTCACCCTGCTCACAGTGACTGCCAGCCAGCAAGCAGACCCTCAGGGGGTCACCAAGTCTGTAGGCAGCTGGGGGGGGTCACTCAGCAATGGCTTGTTGACTGGGACAGACTGATTCCTCTTTTACCGCAAAGCCTTCCATTAGGTGAGGCTTGGCTCTCTAGACCTCTACTGGGGCCCACTGGGCATCTAACGACAGGTCTAAAAAGAGGTCATTCAACAACAGGTCGTCATGGAAACCCTACCCTCCACCCCTGGCCCCTGGAACAGAATGGAGCGGGAAGGGAGAGAGCAGCATTTGTGAAGTGCCTGCTCTGAGCCAGGCGCGATGAATAGGAAAAAATTCATCTGAGCCTTCCTTTACAAATCACCAAGAGAAAAGGACACTGTGCGCTGTTAAACAAAGTGCAGAACGCGCCTGCTTTGCTGCGTAATCTAGGTCAGTCATAGCTGCGGAGGCAGCTGAGTTCACGTGGCGCCCGCCGTGCTCCTCCCTCTTCCCGGTGCGCACGGCAGGGGCCATGAGCCTGGCACCACGTGGCCACCGAGCCACAGCCTTGCGGGGGCCCTGCCTCCACCGGGCAGTCACCTGTTCACACCAGGAACACGCATGGCAGGCACGTGGGGAAAAATTACCGGCTGATTTGCAAAACACAAACACTCTGTCCCAGATAAGCCAGGGGACAGCCAAGGCATTCCGAAATGTCGGGCACGGCGCTGTCATTGAACCGGTCCTCTTTCACTTGTATTCGCCCTACACTCGCTTTATCAGAAAATGCTGAAAAACAGGGCTGTGTTTGGGCAGAGTTACCTTGGAACTTTCATCTTAATTACAGGCGCTCTTAGTAACCGTTGCTTAGTAACAAACACTTTTTGAAATAGATGTGTTGACTTATTACGAGAAAGTCTGAAAAGACCTTGGCGTGATGGAAAAATAGCAAGGGCCTGGTAAAGTGAAAAAATGTTTTAACTGACAAAGCGCTAGCAAACTTCAGGCATTCCCCAATTCCAAGGGCATTACTGAATGTCTGCAGTGGTTCCATAATATTTTACTCTACTTTATTACCAACCTATTATTTTCAGACCCACGTCAGGTGCAGCTGAGTACCAAAGTTCTGGGACACGGGCCTGGGACTTTTACGCAAAGCAGGATCGCACACAGAACAGCAGTGGCTTCTGGACGTCCGCGGGTCCAAAACATCCTCCATGGCATAGTTTTGAGGCTGCTTTTATTCAAGGTTTCAGGAGGCGTCTTGAGGCGTCTGGTGAGCTTTCAAGTCAGAAGGGAAAGCAGGGGATGCTTCCCCTCAATCTTTCCAAGAATATTTCTTTAGCACCTGCTAATAAAATCTGTGACAAAAGCGGAAATGGAAGTGCCTTTCAGCACTACGTCCAACACACATCTCCCCCCCAAAGCAAAACCCCAACCTCGCGCTCTCTCCTCTTTGGGCGTCCGCCTCCTCCGCCCAGGGCAAGACCTCTCCGTCCACTGGCCATCTCCACCTCAGATGCTGGACACCTTCACCCACTCTGCTGTGCTCTCATGATCTCCCAAGAAGGGACCCTCACTGGCACAGTAAATCCATGCCCTTGGATCTTTCTGGTAGTTTCCTCTGCCCCGGCCTCTGCTCTCGTTTCTTTTCTTCCTATTTTGAAAAACTTCTCGAAAGAGGAGTCTCCCCTCACTGGTGTTCCTTTCTCACCTCCCACTCAATCCTCAAGCCACAGCAACCTGACCTTACCTCACGATTTCCTTTTCCAGTGGCCATTTCTGTTGTTTCCAGAAAGGCTTTGATGAAGAGTAGCAGAATTTTCAGAAATCTATCCTTCTGATACGTGTTTGTCTCTGTATTTGCAAAAATATTGCCAGACAGTAAATTATTGGTTCCACCACCACACTTCTCCCAGGGCCCTGGCTCACTTAGCTCCGGTGTGGACTATTACGTTAGCCTGCGAACCCACAAGTCTCCAGATCCACTTGAAGGCTTCCCACGCTGTCAAAATTTCCTTCCTAAACACTTCCTGATCTGACAATCTTTCGCCTCCGCTCAGAAACCTTCCTGGCCTTCCATGCCCTCCAGTATCCTTCCTTCCCAGTTCTCTCTACTATTTAAGTCCACCCACCCCAGCCCATCTGCCTGGGGAGTCCTTCAAATTTGCCACCATCCAAGCCCACATCCCTGTGGTAGAAAGAAGGAGTCGCCACTGAAGGAGGTAAGACAGCATCCACTCAGCAGGGCCCCGCCCCAGACATTCTATCTGGTTTGCCCAGCACGTCCCATTGCTTCAAAAGTCTACTCCGCTCAATTTACTTTGGCTGCCCAGCCCCAAAGGCATTTGGACTTGAGGCCATGGGCCGAAATCTTTGGACCAGCCTTCCTCTAGCCTCCCAAACTCTATTCATTTATGGACTCCTTCACTGAACAAACAGTTATCGGTGTGCCAGGCATTGTACGAAGGCAGCAATGACACGATAATAACAGAAGATAATAAGGAAACTCTGTCTTATCTCAGGGAGTTCGAAGAATAAAGAATTATTCAAGTAAATATAAAGTAAGTGCTAAGAGGAACTGTATAAGGCTTGTAGGAGTTTACAGCAGAAAGAACTAGCCAAGTCAGGAAGACATCCCTGTTGAGAGCTGAGGTCGGGCAAGTGAGGGAAAGTCATCAAGGAGGCAAAGTTACGTCCATGGGAGGTAGGGGTGAGGAAGGCGGTACTCCAGGAAGAGGAACAGCATGTTCGAAGGTCCTGTTCCTTTCTTTCTCCAGTATGCTCACCATTAGGGAGCTTCCCTACTAGGCTATGTTTTCTTTTTTAGCATGTCATTATTGGCTTCTAAACTAAACAAAGACTCCCATTGCAAAATCAGAGCAATCATTGTTTTTGAAAGACTTAGGCTGTAATGTAAAAAAACACAGTGCTTAGGTTTTAAAACATGTATTTACAAAAACATTTTTCTGTATTTCAACACCCTCATTTATTCGCAGCTTGTACCTTTTTTAAGCTGAGGATTTATATCTGAGTATTGGAAGCATTCACTTCTCATCAACTTTCTGACAAATTCCACTCCGAACAGCTGTTACCATAAAATTTAATTTGCCACTTCCCAAAAAAGTCACTTCAACGTAAAATAACTTTGCCTTCCTGCTAATATTTCACAACTAATTAAAACTGAAAGGATGGGCTGAGTCCCCGCAGACTGGCTCCATCCACAAACCTGCACAATTACAGACTGTGAGGGGGGAGGGAACTCAAGTCTTGAGCGCTGGAGAATATACAACGTGTCTCCAAACATTTGCCCTTCCAAGAAGCGAAACTGGCGAGGATGTTGGGCAAATACGAAAGTGAGATGTGAAAACTTCAGAACAATTATCTGTGTAAATCGATTTCCGGATTTCCAAAGTTCAAAAGACAAGTCATTATGTGCTTCTAATTCACCTTCATGGTAACCATCGTTCGTACGCCTTCCGTACAAAAATCACAACCCAAGCCAAAATACCGGCAACCTACCTTGTGGCATTTATTATTAGCCCACAAAATGGAAACTTTCTTCAACTATTTTCCTAGGTGCCTTAATTGTACAAGAAAATTAATAGGAAGTGGAACCAAGCCAACCTCTTGCTGCAGAACAAGGTTCTGTTGTCAAACTCATTCACGCCAAGGCGGTGCTCGACGTTCAAAAGAGGTGACGGGAAGGTTTCTTCAGCCAAGCCAAGGAAAATTAATGACCACCACTCAGAAATATACAGTCTGTTAGGGCAATGCCCTCACCCCTGATCATCACGGAAGGGCAGGAAGGGGAGGATGGAATGGGGGAGGGCACGGGAAAGAATGGGGTTGTCTGTCGGGAAATCCACAAGACTCCATCAGTCTATAGGATTTTTCCAAACCCCCTCCAAAGCAGTCGAGGCCCAACTTACTTCCAGGAAATAAAACAACGTGCGCAATGTGTCCACCCTGCTTAAGTCAAACGCAGTCACCGATGATGACGGAAAGCCCCTGTACTGCCCCTTTCCACAGACCCTCGTGTCCTAGCTACACCTGGGGGATAAAACTCCCTCGAGGACTCGGGCTTCGACTTGATAATATACTCCCGTTTTACACTAAGGATGCTATCAGCACACCCTCCATGTGACCGTCCCTTTGGCACACACGCGCACACACACACACATACAAAAAGCCTTTTTTTGGCTTAGAGTAGGTACATTACTTTCACAGCAGACAGAGTGATCCTGTTAAAAACCTATCACACATCATGTCACTCCTGTGGCTCAGTGCCCCCAGCAGCACCTGCTCAATCACCGCTACCCCAATTCCAGGGTCCCTATAATAGCCTAAAGGCCCTTCACGCCCCCCATCGGCACTCCCCCTTGCTCCCCAGTCCCCACACCCCACTAGCTGGCTGCCCTCCAGCTCTCCCAGTCACCTCTGCCTGCGCTCGCCACAAGCTCCCCAACTGGCTCGTCTCTCCTACACTCCCAGGGTTCTCTGTGTGTCCTTGGTATTATTTCCTTGGTCTGGGTCTCCCCAGAGCTCGCTCTCTCACCTCCCCCAAGTTTTGCTCAAATGTAAGAACGCGATTTCTCTGGCCAGCTTATTCTAAGTTGCAAGCCACCCTCCAACCCCCGCCTGACCCTCTGACACTCTATCTCCCTCCTTTGCCTGATTTTTCTCCGTAGTACTTATCACTTTCTAATGTTACTTATTGCTTTGTTGTGTATATTGTCCACTTCTTCCCTCTAAAAATGGAAACTCCATGCGGGCAGAGATTTTTGTCTGCTTTGTTCACTGCAGTATTCCCCAATACTTAGGACAATGTCTGGTCATGGTAGGCAGTCAATCAATATTAACTAAACAAGTGAATTTCACCACTGAACGCATAAATAAAGAAGGGACTGAAATTCTACCATTCACGGAATGGGACAGCAGAGATGAGCCTTACTGGGCTTGACAGGAACGCAGACAAAGTCAAGCCCAATTTTACTTCCATCCCCCTCAGCTTCCAAGGAGCCTACAACTGCAATCCAGGATGGACCCTCTTTCATCTGGCCATCCTCTCCCCCCAATGCCAAGCTTCTGGTTATAAACTAAGCTTCTGGTTATGACTCTAGTGTCATATTTAAAATCCACTGGGGGGGCGCCTGGGTGGCTCGGTCGGTTACGTGTCCGACTTCGGCTCAGGTCATGATCTCACGGTCCGTGAGTTCAAGCCCCGCGTCGGGCTCTGGGCTGATGGCTCAGAGCCTGGAGCCTGCTTCCGATTCTGTGTCTCCCTCTCTCTCTGCCCCTCCCCCGTTCATGCTCTGTCTCTCTCTGTCTCAAAAATAAATAAACGTTAAAAAAAAAAAAATTTTTTAAATCCACTGG